TGTAATTATAAAGTTATGAAGGTCGGAGAGAGAGAAAGCTTATGAAAGAGCATTGTAGAAGCCGCTTACATTTCTAATTCTTCTTCTTGACATTTCATAAATCTGTGTGTGCTTTGGACCTGGTTTGGGGTTTTTGAAGACCTTTAAAGTCATTTATCATATTAAAGCTTAACCTTGGCAGCCACAATCTGCCTGCACTGGATTGACAGGTCGACAATGGTCCAGTTACCTCCCTAACTTCTGAGGTTTTCTCTAGCTGTTGTCAATGGAACTCCTAAAAAAATCATGCTGGCTCCTGGATTGGACAGACTGGCTCCTGGATTGGACAGACTGGCTCCTGGATTGGACAGACTGGCTCTTGGATTAGATAGACTGGCTCCTGGATTGGACAGACTGGCTCCTGGATTGGACAAACTGGCTCCTGGATTGGAAAGACTGGCTCCTGGATTAGACGGACTGGCTCCTGGATTAGACAGACAGGCCCCTGTATTGGACAGAATAGCTCCTGGATTGGATAGACTGGCTCCTGGATTAGACGGACTGGCTTCTGGATTAGACAGACTGGCTTCTGGATTAGACAGACTGGCTCCTGGATTGGACAGACTGGCTCCTGGATTGGACAGACTGGCTCTTGGATTAGATAGACTGGCTCCTGGATTGGACAGACTGGCTCCTGGATTCCATATTATTAGTCCACCCCTGACGTACACATCATGACCAGCTGTGCTTAGCCAACTACTTCATTAATTAATTATTTACGCAGCCTTCTAGGTAATGGTGGTCAACTTTCTTCATACGGTGAGTCTCAAGTGCGCCACCCCCCTGATATCACCAGATGGCCCGCATATAATATTCAGTGAATGCTTCAGGAGACAGTCATAGACTAGAGACACATTACGCGAGACTGTTAGAGATCTTTCACTGGGCTGGGTAAGCACCTAGGTAGAGAAAACACAGACTGCTGTCTGCAGGGATCCCGAGGGCTACACAATAATTGTCACATAACCCCCTGGCCAGCTTGGGCACCAGGGCTGTAAAGGCTTAAGCAGGGCTGGATTTACTCTCTCTGCTTCCCCCAATGCCAGGTTCCTCAATGCACCCCCCCTCCCCCTCCCCCCGTATTCATAACCTAAGAGAAAGTATGTCCCATCGCACTCCTGACCGGAAGCAAACCCAAAAGCAGGGTGGGTGCGGCAGTGACAGCAGATGCCTCCACAGACCATATGAAAATTAGATTATAAGGCTTCCCTGCTGGACATTTAGCTCTGCTTGCCCAAAGCCGGGCTAAATGTAGAAGACAACTGCCCGCCCGGCGCCTGGAACTGCATGTCCCCGGCATCGGGAGATAGGAATTCCACATTCCTGCTGCCCCTCTACTCCCTACTGCCCCTCTACTCCCGGCTACCCCGAGGCCGGGCCTTGGTTGGCCCTGTGGGATACCCGACCCCGGGCTCAAGCATTAACCTGAACCTGTCCTGCCCTAAAAATGCCTTGTGGTGCCTGCAAATACCGACTGTATATTAGTCTTCAAATTGCTACCAAACACCACAGCCTCCAACACACACTTAAAATGCTATATGTAAGATTTGATTGACAGGGGGCGGGGCCTTAGCGGAATACGAGCGTCAAAGCCGACCTCCAGGCAGATAAATAAGACATAAATATTCATTAAAGAGACCCTGTCACCTTGCCCTTGTCTTTTATATATGCCGGAGTTCAGCTTTATGTGCCTTTTATCTTTCTGCTAAATCAGGTTATAAGCCCTTCCTTGGCATGACACGGTGGGAGGACGGGAATCGTGCCACTCCTGAAACCCTGTATTCCCATAAAGGTCACGGATAAAAATGATGTTTATGTTCTGATTAACAAAACTGCGAGAAGCCAACAACAACGGGATGGTAAAAAAAAAAAAAAATGGACTAATCAGTGTTATGATAAACTTCCTTTAGTGCAAGATTCATGTCCAGAGAATGAGGATAGAACATCTAATCTCACCAATCATAGGAACACAACGGAATATACTTCCAAATGTTACCCACCTTACCTGACAATCATCATTTAGATACCTTCCTCGGAGACCGTAACATACAGGGGTACAGGTACTCTTAAAAACGAGGTCACACAGGGACCCGTGTACACGCACACACATGCACAGTCACACGCAGACACACAAAGGTTGAACTTGATGGACCCGTGTCTTTATTCAACCTCAAATAGAATGTAACTATGTCATAGAACTGCTACATTACAATCTATAGTTCAATAATGGGCCATCGTACGTCAGCTGCTCCATTCCAGGCCACATGCCCTCGACATTGGGGAGGTTCCCCCCTGGAAAAGCAACTTGCTCCCGTGTCAATGAGGACAAGGGCCTCTTTTTCCACCACCTGGCCCGGTGG